TCATCTCGGACTCCCCGAATAACAGCGAGGGTGACGTGGCCGGCCTGGGCCATTTGCAGGATGTCGCGGAGCCCCTGGAAGGCAGTGCTCATCCTGGGCTGGAAAGTACCCCAGACCAAGAAGAAATGGACACCCTGAGCCACGGCAGTGAGACTGATGGAGACGATACACCCCAAGACGTCTCTGACATGACCTCTGACAGCAGAGCGTCTCTGAAGGGGGACTCAACCCAAGAGGAAGTGAAGGGCCTGTCCACCTTTGAGGACGAGGGTGCAGAGGGCTCGGTGCTGAGGGACGGGGACACTCGCCCCGAAGAGCAGGTGTCGGAAGCGTCCTCCCCCCGGTCCTCTGCCAGGGATGAACCTGTGCCTGTGTGCACCATCTTCAGCCAGCCCAGCTCGGCCCCGTCCCAGGCACACTTGTTCCTGCACGATGGCTTCGAGTCCCAGATGGTGAAGTCGCCCAGCTTCAGCAGCGCCAGCGAGACATCCGCCAAGACCCCCCCTCAGGCGGTGCAGCCCAGCCCCAGCCTGAGCACGTTTTTTGGCGAGACGATCAGCACGAACTCCCTGGCCTCGGACTTCTTTGATTCCTTCACCACCTCCGCGTTCATCTCCGTCAGTAATCCCAACGCCGGCCCTTCTGTCCCAGAAAACCTGGCTGCACTCTCCGCAGCGGGGGGAGAGAAATCCCCTGATTCCACTGAGCCGTCTTACTCTGCGGGGATCCAAAGGTCCCAGTCCGCTCTTTCCACAGCTTCGCTCCAGACGCCCGAGTCTCCAAAGCCGTTTTCCCAGGTACAGGCCGTGTTTGCAGGGAGCGACGACCCCTTTGCCACAGCCCTCAGCATGAGCGAGATGGACCGAAGGAATGACGCCTGGCTGCCCAGCGAGGCCACCAGGGACGTTCTGGTCTCGGTGGCCACCCAGCAGCACAGCCCCGTGTTCCTCGACAAGGAGAACCTCACCATGCCCGGCCTCAAGTTTGACAACATCCAGGTATGGCATGGTATCCCCCGCCTGACGCTCCGGTGTGGGTAGCACGGTGCCCCGGGGTGGGGAGGTCCTTCTGTGACAGTTCACGGGGTTGTGCCACTAGGCGGTCAGTGCAGTGTCTCTGACAGGCAGCGGCGCAGAGGTCAATGCCAGCCCAACCCAGCTCTCCGCTGCAGGCCGTGCCTGTGGTCAGGTTATCAGTGGCAGGTGCGCTGCAGTAAAGGAGGAAGTCCTTCTTCCCAGTACAGAAGGCATTTATGTTGTCACAGACTTGACATAAACAGCTTCTATAGCTGCAGTGAGAGAAAATAAGCAGCTGCCAAAATAGTCACAACATGTATGCATGCATGCCGGTGTGCATGTGTGTGCACATGTGTGCATGTATGTATATGTGTGTGGGGTGTATGTGTGTGTTTACACGTGTGCTTGTGTGTGCGTGTGTGTGCACGTGTGTGTGTGCGCATGTGTATGCATGTATGTACACAAGTGGTGCCGTCCAGGTGCTCGGTCTCGCTAGTGCTCCAAGACAGACCGTTTGCATTCCCTTCTTTCTCCCTGGGTGTTTCATGTACGACTTAGATTGTTTCCTGAAGCATGGGCACACCTGTCTGAGGCAGCCCTGATGGGCCCAGGGGTTGGCACTACCATTTTTATGGAAGTTGTAATATGCACATCAAACTTTATGTGTCCTTGACCCAGACGTTGTCCTCTCGCCAGGACTGAAAGACCACTCCTACCCAAACCCCCGCTATCGGGATGCCCACCCCAGTGCGGCAGTGATTCGTAACTGCTCGGATGCTGAACCCAGCTGAAACCTCGTTAGTTCAGGACTGGGGGATACGTTTGACTCTCCCATTTTTAATGGAATGTGTGTATTTTTGAAACAGTGCAGGGTCAGGGGTGAGGGGCAGTGGGCGTCTTTAAGGCAGTGAAGCCTGTTCAGTGCTGGAACGGTGAGCGCACGTTTGCAGTGACTCACCGTCTGAACCTGTAGTCAGCCCAGCACCGAGGACGAGCCCTCGTGCGTACAGGCTTTGGGCAGGGACGGCGCATACCCTCCAGTGGGGAGCCTGGGAGGGACGCTCTGCGGCAGTGGGGAGCCTGGGAGGGACGCTCTGCGGCAGTGGGGCCGGGCGTATCTGTAACTGCCCCCTCTGCTCAGTCTTGCCACGGACCTCAAACCGCTCTCAACGACAGATATTTCTTAATACTGAATCAGAATAAAAGGCTCATAGCGTGTTGTAAACCTTGCAGCTGGCGGGGCACACGGTCTGACTGGGTTTCATGTCTGTGCACCCGCTCTCCGCTGTCGCACGTCCGTCTCAGTGTGGCTGCGGACCGCGGCCAGGTTGGCAGTGTGCATGTGCGGGTGTGTGGGGCGGGGGACGGTCTCGCCTGCCTTTCCTGGCCTGGAATTCTGCGTGGCTGTCTCCTGGGTGGAGGGGCCTGTGCACCCTCTCAGCACAGTCCCCACCCTGCCCGAGCACAGGCACTAAGCCGGTCAGCCAGTTAGGCGAGTACGACCATTTCTGTGAACTGGCCGGGGGAGGCCTGCGAGCGCTGAAGTGTGTCGCAAGGAGTGATGCGCTGGAGGAGTGCAGGGGGTCCCTGCAGTGTGGTCCATAGACCCCGGGTCTCGGATTTGTTACACGGCTCGTCCCAGAATTCCCCACCGTTACTGCAGGCCTCTGCTCACCAGGCCTTGTCCTGGGCCTCGATCTCGTCCCTCCTAAGCAGAACATGGCGGGCCATTTTAACGAGTACCACTGTGGACCCTGGCTCGGGGGCTACTTGGACATGCAGGACTGGACCGACTTTTCATGGTCTCCTCACCGGCTGCCCGCCACGGCCCTGTGTCCGCACCGCACCCCAGTGGCTTCAGTGTCCCCGTTTGGTGTTTTACCTGCTCGGGTCTCTGCTCTGCCCTGAGGCCTCTCGCGTAAGGCGTCTGGCATGAGCGCCTTTCGAAGCACCTGTTTGTCTTTGGCTTCCCCAATTGTAGCCTGGGCAGCCTGGCGGTGGCCGAGGGAGCACTTAGCACTGCTGCACTGTGTCCCAGGAGTGCTGGCGACGTGCAGCATCAGCCGAGGAAGTGTATGACAGGCGGAGGGTGAGGCCAGAGTCCCAGGAACCCTGTGGAAACCATCTACCCAAAATGGGGGTCACCCGTGAGTCAGAAGCACAGGCGCTGCAATGCCATGCTGCCCTAGCCTAGATTCAGCTGGCCGCGGGCTTGGTGCACTGTGTGAACACAGGCCGTGGGTCGCCACCTAGTGCACTCCAAAGGGCGTATGTGCAATTTTAGTCGCTTAAATATTTTTTAATTAAGAAATAGTGTCGTTTCTGGGCCAGCCTCATGAGTCAGCGGTTAAGTTCTGCGACGTAGCGTGGACCCATGTGGCAGCCGTGGTTCGGACCCCAGCCGGCAGCTTGGGAGACTTACCAGGAGTGTGTGCTTCCCCAGCCCTGACGGGGTGGAGTAACAGTGGGAGGAGGGTTTCCACGTGACCACGCCTCGCTGGGGCGTGCTTTCTCTCCCCTGTCTCTGATCCCAGAAATTGCCTGGCATGTAGACATTCTCCTGATCAATCCATGAACATGGAAGGAACCTTGAATATGAAGAATTGGTTTCAGATTCTTCCTTGCTAATAACCTGTGTAACACAGGGATTCATTGAGCATTCATGTCTTTTTTTCCTCCTTTCTCTTCGTTGCCAGAGGGCACCTGTACTCAGCAGGGAGAGCGAGCAGCACGCACACCTCCCACAGTCCTCCTCCCCCCATCACCCTTCCCACCAGGGTTTGGAGCACACACAGCACATGCGCCTGCTGTTTTCTGAGCACTGGGCCGGGCTGGACGGGAGCTGGCCGTGTGGGTCTGGCCCACCCACTGCTGCAGGGCCAGTCCTGAGTCCTGGTTTTGCTGCCGTGAAGTGAAGAGCTTTGCAGGTCGCTGCCAAGCCCAGGCTGAGCTGCAGTATTAGGACACCGGGGAGCCCTGGCTGGGAAGGATGGCATTAACTGGAGTGTGGGGTAGCTCCGAGGCACACTCCACGGTCTCTGCAGCCCCACAAGCCCACCACGCCCTGCTGGGATCCCCGTCCCGCACTGTGGTCCGGGTGCGGCTGGGTTCCGGAGCTCAGCTTGTGTGCCCTTCCCCGGTCACCGCGTGTCTGTTTCCATGTCTGGCTATTTGCCCAGTGTTGTGGTGGACCCCAGCAGGATTGGAAGTGCACCCCGGCTCAGCAGTGGCCAGGCATACGGTCCCCGCTGCCACCGCTGGGCACACGCTTCTGTGCCTCGAGAGCACCACATCACGTTGAAGCCTGTGAGCAGCCAGGGGGGTTGAGAGGCCAGTCCGGGCTGGTGAGGGCGGCAAACCCGGGAGGGTCTTCCCTTACCTTATGCTTGCATGGGGCCTTGGGAGGAAAGGGTTTAGGCTCCTTTCCATTTCTCAGTTTTCCTGAGAGAGAGTTCACACACCACATGGCTCGTGCACAATTCAGGGCTTTTAGTCTGTTGACACAGTTGTGCAAACATCGCTGTTTTGTTTTTGCTAAGGGTACGTGCACACATCGGAAAGATAGGGGAGACGGAAGGTGAGAGATCACCCCCCGGGGACGGCCACGCCACAGTCCCTTCTCCTCCATTCCGCTGGGTCCAGGACTCGAACCACACAGTTGGCCGTGGGAGATTCAGCCACCCTAACCTCCTCGGCACCTGCTGGCCCGTTACCACAATCAGTTCTTAAAATGTTTTTTAGGATTATTTATTTAATTCCATTTGTTATTATTATTTTTTTAATTTGGCCAGACAGAGACGGGGGGGGAAAGATAGGAAGAGGGGGGGGGGGGGGGGGGGCGAGAAAGCAAGCCACCAGATCTGGAACTCGAACCACAGTTGACCATGTGAGAATCCAGCACCCTTAACCACCTATGCCACCTGCCAGCCAAGTTTTTAAAAAACATTTTTCTCCACAAAGAAGCCTTGAACCCACTGGCAGTCACTCCCGCCTGCCCCCAGCCCCAGGCAACCACTGACTTCCTTCTTATCCCTGGATTCCCGTGTTCTGGACACTTCCTGTAAATGGAGTCACTCAGGCCAGCCCGTGGTGCATAAGGGGTGAGCTGCTTGCGAAGCCAGACCCCGCGCACTGACAGGTTCACACCCTGACCCCCCTGACCCAGTCAGCCGGGACACAGGCACTCACAGGCGAGGGGTGCACTATGCGTCCCTCCCTGTCCCTCGGGTGCACGCTGTCCTGGAAAACACATCAGGGTAGAGTAAGACAAACGGGGTCGTCCCTGCAAGACGTGTCTTCTGTGACTGGCTTCCTTACTTAGCTCGGCGTTTTCCTGGGTCGCCCGTGTGGTGGCATGTCCTTGTCCTTCTGTTGAGTGTCTGTGGAATCCGTGAATGAGGGAGATGGGGAGAGAAACGGAGAGACAGCTCCCAGCAGGGGGGTTCTACCTGTCCTACCCCCACCCCAGCCCGGGCAGGGGCATGCATATGCCCATCGTGTTACTCAGTCCCCATGTGGGCCTGCGGCAGAGCCAGCATCCGGCCCCACCCAGCACTGGCCACCCCATCTCGTCCACTCATGCTTGGGGACACTGTCGATTTCACCTTTGGCTATGACGAGATACTGTGTGAATGTCACGTAAAGCGAGTGTGGACCTGCAGGGTTGTGTGCTGTGGGGGGCGTTTTGAGTAATCGCCCGCCTTTTCTGAAGTGGCCACCTGGTTCCCGCCCTCCCTGGCGACGTGAGAGTTCTAGGTGCGGGTCCGTGTCGTGTCCGCCTGTTGTCGTTTCACGTGCCGGGCGCTGGTGCGTGCCCAAAGCCCCAGGAGGGGTTGTCATGCCCCTAGGAGAAAGACCACAGGACCAGACGGGGCAGCTCCCAGGTCATGAGTCACGTTGCTCCGGGAGGGTGGCCGAGAGCCCGGCTCACCCTCTGCTGGCCTATGGCCATCCTTCCCTCTAGGCCTCACTGACCCTGGGCTCTGCCCCGTCGCGGGGGCTGCTCTGGAGGAGGGAGGGCCCCTGGCGCCTGCTACCATAAACAGTGGCTCGCCCCCTGTGAGCACAGGGCTGCCAGCGGAACACTGGCTGGTCTCCTGGGCTACCCCAAGAGTTCAGCCTTGCCCTGAAGGGGGCAACCCTCACTTGGTGTTTTCCCCATGTTAGGGGACCCCTGGTTCCAGCCGGGTCCCTTTCCAGGTGCAGCACTGCAGCCCTGGAGAACCCCGGTTGGCTGGCCCCTCTCCAGGTGACCAGGAGGGAGTGCTGGGCTGGGCTGTCCTGCCTCCAATCTCCTGGGTCCTGGGTCCTGGCCCCTCCCCGGTGACCAGGCAGGGATGCCTCGCTGAGCTGCCTTCACTGCAGGGGCAGCTGTGTCTGCACACTATCTGGGCTCTGCCGCTTGGACCCTCCTGTATAAGGACTGAGGTTTGCTGAGAGCGGTCTGAGGCTGCAGGAATCGTCCTCCCTGCTCCTGAGCTGATTCCGCTCCTTGGCTGAGAGGATGCTCTTTGTCTGACCGAGCTGCGCTTTCCAGCCAATGGAGACATCCTCTTGGCACCTCTATTCCCTTAATCT